AGAAGTTTCAGGCCTCATAAGTGGAAAAACCAAACTTGCCCCAACGAAAAGGGAGCTATCTACACTGAAACTGGAGTTACTAGCACTCTTGCTAGCTCTACGTTAGCCGAATCCATATCATTAGCGTTGAAAAGTGGGATTGCGCAGATCTGCATTGTAAGCGACAGCCTCATTGCATTGAGCTGGATACATACTTCACGCAAGCTCCCCCTTTTCGTTACGAATCAACGTGACCGAATAAAAACAATCATGAACCGCCTTCACTGCCTTAGGGCATGAAATCCAGTTACTTCACGTTCCTGGAGAACAAAATCCCGCCGACGACGGCACCCGGGGACTTACAGGAGAACAACTCCGAAGCAGCGACTGGGTTACAGGCCCACAATGGCTGCTTACTGAAGAAAAAAGGAAAATGCTCACAAAAATAGATCTAATTGGATCCATTTCAATAGACCCACTGGAAAACGAAGAAGATGGTGTGGTTTTAACGGAAGCCTCTTCCCAACAGGATGATACGTGCCACAACGCTATTCCTCTAGAGCGCTTCAGCAGTCTGTACAAGGCTCTCAGAGTTACCGCATTAGTCGGCAAATTCATTCGTATGCTAGCTAACGCGCGAAGAATAATACACATGCCAAAATTACTCTCTTCACAACTGCCATGTTTTCAATCGGACAACTCATCACCGCCAGCGATATAAACATCGCGAAGCGCATCTTACTCCAAAGTCAACACCTAAGCGTAAACTTTAACGAAGTACAACGTAAGAATCGGGATCCTACTATATATAAACGGCAACGTCTGTCTGTCTGTTTGTCTGTTGTCTGTTTGTCTGTTTGTCTGTTTGTCTGTCTGTCTGTCTGTCTGTCCGGAAATTCGGAATCACCTGAAGAGCCAGTTGGAAGGGACGGGTCAAGGGTGGGTTGGGTAGGGCATGGGCCAAGATGTACGGAACACACGTGAACCGAGCTAAGCCCCGCCCACTGTGGGCGGGGCGTGCGCACAGTTGTGAGCTACATATTTCAAAAATTCGTAGTCCGGTTCTAGAAGATCCCGGAGAGCGGAAATTGTGGGTAAGGATAAGCAGTCAGTTGGCGGATGAAATGAGGGAGTCACACCCGTGATGGACGGGGCGTGCTATAGGTGGGCGGTGCTCGCTACAGAACTTTCAAAAATTCGTAGTTCGGTTCTAGAAGATCCCGGAGAGCGGAAATTGTGTGGGTAAGGATAAGCAGTCAGTTGGCGGATGAAATGAGGGAGTCACACCCGTGTGCATGGATGGACGGGGCGTGCCATAGGTGGGCGGTGCTCGCTACAGAACTTTCAAAAATTCGTAATTCGGTTCCAGAAGATCCCGGAGAGCGGAAATTGTGGGAAACGATAAGCAGTCAGTTGGCAGATGAAATGAGGGAGTCACACCCGTGATGGGCAGGGCGTGCGCCGAAGTGAACGGTGCCGGGGATAAAAACCCTCAAAATACATCCGAAAAACTCCAGGAAATGGGGAGTAAGTGAAAATGAGCAATGGTTGGGCAGATGATGTTAGTAAGGGATAACCCGGAGAGTATACCAAGTGGTTGGTGCCGTGTCAGTGATGAGGATTTGGTTGGTGGCCGTTTATTCTGTGGTCATCCACAGAATAAACGGCACCAACCAATCCTCATCACTGACTGGAGCGCTGTATAGAAAATTTTGTTGACTGTCTGCTAGGGGGGATCCGACTGGCCCTCCCTCTCATGGAAAACTTCTCGCCGGGACCCACTCAGCACCTCCGGAAGGAGATCGGCCGGCGAAGCCGAGCCGATCCGACTGGTAAATACATATTTCGCGATGAAAATGGTGTAATTCGAGTTCATTCACGTTTAGAAAAGGCTTTTTTCTTATGACACTCGATATCCGATTTACATCCAACCACACTCGGAACTGATGCGGCTTGATGCATGTACTAACACAAGCAACGGCCACTGTGAAAGGCCATTTTAGGCTGCGTTTATACTTTGCGGCAGCGTAGCGTAGCGCTTCCAGCGTACGCCAGCGGCAGTGCCGAAGAGAGGATGCATATCGATCTAGCTTCACCAGCGTCACCAGCGGCACGCTGGCGTACGCTAGCGTACGCCAGCGGCACGCTAGCGCACGCTGGCGTAGCGAGGGCATGGGAAGCATAGCTATCGATCTAGCTTCACCAGCGTTTCTCCAGCGTTTTCCCAGCGCTTCCAGCGGCGGGGCTAGAGAGGGGCTAGAGAGCACTGGACGGAGGAGAGTACAAAGTACTCTCCTCCGTTCAGTGCTCTCTAGCCCCTCTCTAGCCTCGTCGCTGCAAGGCTAGAGAGGGGCTAGAGAGCACTGAACGGAGGAGAGTACTTTGTACTCTCCTCCGTCCAGTGCTCTCTAGCCCCTCTCTAGCCCCGCCGCTGGAAGCGCTGGGAAAACGCTGGAGAAACGCTGGTGAAGCTAGATCGATATGCCATGCTGTGATCTTCCCATGCCCTCGCTACGCCAGCGTGCGCTAGCGTGCCGCTGGTGACGCTGGTGAAGCTAGATCGATATGCATCTTCTCTTCGGCACTGCCGCTGGCGTACGCTGGAAGCGCTACGCTACGCTACGCTACGCTGCCGCAAAGTATAAACGCAGCCTTTGACGCGCGCGCCGGACGATTATATCGGTCGTTCGGATATGCTCAGCACAAATTAGATTCCGAACAGAGGGCCAAGGTAAGTGTTCTTTTACACAACAAGAGAGGGACTGGGAAACCACGAGAGCCTTCACTAGGATACTCTTTGGGCATGGCAATTAGATCTATAAAATTCGAAACTTCTCCACGCCCAGATACAGACTTGTGGGACTTCGTAGGTAAGATGCTGAAAGCCAGGTAAGATGCTGCAACACAACAGATCGCTAGTGTTCTATCATCTTTTGCCATCGGAAAATTCTTTTCGATATGGTGGCTTTTCTAATAAAGATCCTTTAACTCCAGGTAACCTCTGAGAATTTTCGTCCCGTTATGGTGATAGATAAGTGCCCAGCTTGGGATGAGGATAAATGGTTAGATTTGCAAATAGGGGATGCCCGTTTTAAGTGCTTCAGACCCTGCTACAGGTAAACATTTCTTTTGATTCTTCTTACGTGATGTAGAATGGTTTCCTTCAGAGGTATGTTGATTACTGTCGACCCAAAGACTGGAGTCAAAGACGGCAACACGCAGCCCCTCAGAAAGTTGCAGGAGTGAGTTACCGAAATTTTCTTCGATTTCTCAGTATAGAGTGTTGTGCCTTTATAGGTTCCGCCTGGCTCCTGAAGGTAAAATGCGTGATTGTTTCAAAGAGTCACCTCTATTCGGTGTTAACGCTGGTGTCGATCAAACGGTTGGAAGACTTTAGATTCGCTAATTTGGCGTTCTTCTAACTGCCTCTTTGCAGGGATACGTCCATGTGGGGCAAGTTGTATACGCTCGCTATAAGAAATCGGCCTTCTGATGCATACGATCCCTGCAAACGATAGGGGGTGTGACGTGGCGTGGAGTAAAGCGCAACCAGGGCGGCCTTTTTCCATAGATGATAGAATACTAAGTCCGCTCCCATAGGTGGAAAGTTTGCTCTGGCTGCGCTCCAGGCCTCGCCATCGTCACACCCCTATTGTCTGCAATTATCATGACTTATGCTGTGATGA